AATATGAAACTGTCAATATATCAATGCATTTTACTGAACAAGTAATAATTTCTGTGATATATTTTCGTTTAAAACACAAAATTATAAGAAAAACATCTGAACACAAATTTGGATTGTCTAAACATTTGTGTGCCTTCCAGACGGTATAGGGGCTAGGGAAGTCGGATGCGATACCAAAGGGCCTGGGTTTGAATCTCGAAAAAGGTATGGTTGTATTTGTCCGTCCCCTCGTAGGAAGCGAAGGTGCCCCACTTATTAGGCGCATTCATAATAAAGTGAAACCCTACTTCTGGGGTCTGTGGACTTTTCGAGCCCGCCATTTAAAAAAAGAAGAAGGAAAAAAATGTAAACTACTGATTAACAGTTTTGAATAAACTGCTATTACTAGAAGGAAAATTTTGATGATAATGAAAATTTTTATTTTTTGTAACAAGCAAGGCTTTAAATAGAAAAAATTAATATATTAAAAAATGTATTAGTACAAGATCTAAGCAAATAAATTTCCAAAATTTGAGTATTAATAAACAAATTCGATGCACTGTAAGCTTTTTTTTACTATTACTACTGCTATTACTAGAAGGAAAATTTTGATGATAATGAAAATTTTTATTTTTTGTAACAAGCAAGGCTTTAAATAGAAAAAATTAATATATTAAAAAAAGTATTAGTACAAGATCTAAGCAAATAAATTTCCAAAATTTGAGTATTAATAAACAAATTCGATGCACTGTAAGCTTTTTTTTACTATTGTACACTCATGATCAGGATACACATTCCTTGTTGGTGCTGAGTTATATTGAAACTCGGGCTAATTAAATGAAATATATTTCGAACTGAAAATGTTTATAAAATGGGGAAAATATAATAGCAGCAGGACGCTGTATACGTAGACAATAAGTGTGACTACAAAATACACGAGATATGAGAAAACAAAGGAATGAAAGCATTATAACTTTAAAGCTTGTTGCCAACACAAAGAAATAAAATATAGAATTGCAAAATTATTTTTAAACGCTGTTGCCAACATAAGACAATGAGGCAGTGAAACAAAGAATCGTGAAATTTTTCCGTATCCTAGTAGTGAAAGTGAACAGAAATTTTTCTGTGTCCCACAAAGGGAGTAGTTATTTAAGTTAGAATAAAATTTAGTCATAGCCTGAGGTCCATTTTGGTGACTGATAAAAAAAAAAAAAAGCTTTTCTTTTACCTGAGCTTTATTTGCACCTCATCGTTCAAATAAATATTGGATCAATACACATTTTAAAAAACGTAGCATTCTGCCGAATAATGGATTCCAAAAGTCAATAATTCCTAGGAATTTACTACCGTTTTTACCATTAAATTGATGTAACACTGATATGAGTTACGGTTATGAAGCAAATGTAGAAAAGCATTCTATTGCAATATTTTATAAGTTTCATGTTTTTCTATGTGTGCAGTTGGAATATATTTTTCCAAATATCTCTGTAAATGTTGAATAAAGCTGATTCCTTAAGGCAAAGAAAGTTGCCTGTTTAAGGATTTAATTGCAGAACTCAAGCTACTTTTTGTTTCCAAGAGCCATTTCGAGTATTTCCGAGTATTATTCCAAGTATTATACTCCGAGTATTATATATTCCGAGTATTATTTCGAGTATTATTTTAGTACAAAAAATTAAATTATGAACGAAACAGGATAAATTTGGAAACCCTTGGGAAACATGCTTTTTACATTTCTACGCAGTGGATTGCGATTCACCACTAATTTGGTAGACAGTTTTTGGTGAGTGGGGGAGGGGGGAAGTTTTGTTTTGTCATATAATTATGTATATTTATTTATAATTATTAATTTTTAGCTAGTATTTAATTGTTTGTAGTAATTACATATATATTAGTTTTAATATAACGTAGTATTCTTCTAGAATTCGTCTTACTCCTATTTTTTTCTCTAGAGTAAATGTACAATGGTTCTCAGAAATGCTGGGATACATTTCATTCTGCAGTAAAAATAATATTGTACACAGTTTAAATTGGAATTTTTATTGTATTTATTAAGTAATATTTCCATTCTATTCTTTACTAAATTATGATATGTGAAATTTATCCGACTAATAATTACAATTTAAAAAAATATCTGAAATGTTTCAGATTTTAAATTACGTCTAAGGGGCATTTTTTAACGTTTTGTGTGTTATCTTTATTTATTAAATATAATGTTCCTTGCACTTAAACCATAAAATTCAATTCAATAGCAATGTCGCAAAATAATTTTAAAATGAGCATATCTTTAGAATTTCCGATGCACAGTTCCGCGCTCTGGAGATAAAAAGGTTTTATCCCCCCCCCCGTAGAGTGTTGTCATTGCTCGCTTTCAAATCGTTGAGTTTGTTAATCAAAAATTCGTTAAAGTTTTACAAAATATGAAATCGATAATAAAACAAACTCCAAATTTCAAATTTGAGCTTCCAGATGCCCGTATTCGCAGGAGGGTTACTAATTCAAAATTGGATGGCTCTAGGTACAATTGTTTTATCACAATGCGAGAAACATACATACATTTATGCAGATTCTTCATTACTTAATTTCTTCAAATATAATACTTCATAGGATCATTTTTATAGTATGATTAGCGAGTTCACAGGGCGATAGTATTTGGTGGCAACTTGAAAAGTGATACAACCTTTTAAAGTTTTCAACGCAAAATCGCAAAGCGAAAGCAATAGTCCTTCAGGGACAAAGCCCCTTTGGACTAAAAATAAAAATTAATCATAAATATCCCCCTAAAAATCATCCACCACGTATTCCCATTACTACGACACCATTTAATTCACTCAGAGAAGTTATTATTTATAAAAGTCTTTGGTGTGTATTTTTGTTTTGAAATTATAATAAATTTAGTAGCTTCTGTGACAGCACGTCATCGTATCGGGGGGGGGATACTCTATCGCTTAAATATTGACAGTATATCAGAAATAGCTAGATTCGAAAACTGGTTATTTTTCACTTTAAAAATGGAAAGATGACATCTATTAGGGAAGCTACTAATAATCTGAATTTGCCGTTTTCTACTTAGTTATAACATTTTAATAAAAAGATTCCTCCCCCCCTTCCTGGAAAAAAAGAAAACTGAATATAAATAAGAAAAGAAGCGTCATCCATCAAAGATTACTTTACAAAACTAAAATTTTTAATTAAAAGTTAATTTAAATTAAATTAAACGCTTAGAACCATGTTTTTAAGTGCTACAATCATTTTGAAGAATTTAATGAAAAGATTTAATATGTCAGTTTTCTCTGAGAAGTCAGAACAATTTTTAGATCAGCTGGAACAATCGTCATCAGCAAGGAAAAAATATCGTAATAAAAATTAACAACTCAAATTTTTATTTGCAAAATCGTTGGGACGAAAGTAGCATTAATCTCTGACGAAAGGAAAATAAACTAAATTTAAAGAATTTCTTACCTAAAGTAAATCATATTGGCAAAAATGTCCTAGTATGGAGTTCCATACCTACAGCAAGGTTTGGTTTATTTAGTTATGGCAAAACACTCAAGGGCTATCTGCCCATGAGAAAGGAGGCTTTCGTGGAGGACCTTTCTAAGGGAAACTGGCTTGTAACACATGGGGAAAACACGAAAAACGCCCATTATACCAGCCCGTTCGCCGGGATACGAGCCCTGACCGAATTACTAGTGTTTAGCGACTTTACCGTTTGGACACTGTTGGGTTTATCTACAACAGAAAAACGCAATTTAGTTGTTCGATGGCGGTGCAAAGACATCTAATCAGAAGAAACATTTCATTTACGAAATTCCAAAACCTTTATTTGGAGACGATCACAAACGGGAATCATTTACATCTCTTCAGACAAATACATGGCATTTCTCAAAACTTTCATAAAATCATATTATTCAATAAACAAGTCTCTAAGATCTTTCTAGTATACTTTCTGTATGGTGCCTCTCAGAAGTTATTATAAAATTAATTCTCTTGCTCTCAGAACCGGATTTAAACTTGATAAGGCCCTAAGCTAAAGACCTGTTATACAATATTTTAATACTAATCACACAACTCTAACCTAAAAATCAGAAAACATCATTCTTATATTTTTGAACGAAGGGAAAAAGAATTTGACCTATTGCCACTAAAACGTAAATGAAATATAATTAAAACTACAAGATTATGTTTATACCCTTGCTCACATATTAGATGGGAAAATGGATAGATGTAATTTCCAATATTAGTTATTTTGAGGATATCAGCACAAAAATTCAGTATCAGAAAAAATTTCGTATTGTATCAACATAATGACACAAAGCATAATGCTTTAAATATTAATTTGTTTATCTCCAGCGGGCGGAACTGTGTATCGGAAATTCTAAAGATATGCTCATTTTAAAATTATTTTGCGACATTGCTATTGAACTGAATTTTATGGTTTAAGTGCAAAGAACATGATATTTAATAAATAAAGGTGACACACAAAACGTTAAAAAAAAAAAAAAAAAAAAAAAAAAAAAAAAAAAAAACGCCTCTTTGAACGTAATTTAAAATCTGAAACCTTTCAGATTTTTTTTTTTTTTTTTTTTTTTTTTTTATCTTAAACGTTTTCGGCGCTGATGCTTCGTATAGATGTGTGTTTGAATGTTATCGTATTGTGGAGATGGTATAGAGATATAGGATTAGGGAAACACTATAGCCAACGTATATAATATAGTATCAGAAACATTTTTTACTAATTTTTTGAATATTTTAATTTCATAAAATAATTTATCCCCCCTTATAATGTTAAATTACATAATTTTATTTTATTTATGTTAAATCTTTTAATTCTATTAAAAACACAGAGGCTTTTATCGTTTAAAGAGACTTCGGCATTCCATTTGCCATATTATTTTTAGTAATTATGTAGAGCTTTTTTTGTAAAAATAAATTTCTTACTACATTAAAAGCTTACTGTTATTACTTATATGTTTTATAAATGAAATTTATAAAAATTCGTGTGTTTAATTTGATTTCAGCAAAAGTGCAGGAGAGCAACTTGCGTAAAGGAAAGAATGTCTTTATGGAGTACTAAGAGAAAAAGACAAGAATTCACGGTATCCATGAGAACTATAAAAATAAGAATTGCAAAAGGATGAAATGAAATTAATGTCTGTTGCAGCAGAAGTTTCTGGTTGAAGAAATTTGTAATATGGAAAGGGGACAAGGAATTCCAGAATTTTTCCCGGTTGAATAAATGCACAAGAAATACTACACGGAATTTTAACTTCAAGAATTTAAAACTCTAACACGAAAATAAACCAAAAAATAAGAATATATTCTGGCTTCAACAGAACATTCTCACTGCAACAGTAATTTACAGGATGGGGGAAGAATAGTCTCTCCTGAAAATTTACAAGTAAATCAATACAATTCATTTAAATCTTGATAATTTATAAGACTTGGTTAAAAACAGCAAGATTACTAGGCAGCGCTTCATGCTTTAGTGATAACCTAGAATTTCGGAAACACAGCTGTATGGAAATAAAAACAAAGGAGTACTGGTGGCAGTGTTGATTCACATTTATTACACAGCGCTATCAAATTCATTACTGCATTTAAAAACAAAACCACTTTCGGTCAGAAATTACGCAACGCTAAACAATCTCAATTTTGGCGCGCTAACCAAAAAGCTATTTCTAGCGAGCAGCGCTCACTCACTGAATTATTGATCGTCAATTTTTACTTGATCAAGCGCCGTTTTCCCTAGTACTTCAATCGTTAACCTCTGTTCTGTTGAGACGTCTCGCGTGTTTAGTCCTAGTGATTCGCGAGTAGTGGTCATAGAACACCGCTTTTGTCCGCTTTCCTAGCGTCTAGCACTTTCTTTTTTTACACAGCTAACACTCTTAATGTTTTAGAAAGGTAATTTGGTGTTCTACCAAGAAAATACGTTCCCATTTCAGCAAGAATGACTGCATAAAAATGGAAGGAGCGATATCCTGTGCGAGCCATCGGACGCCATTTTGGTACGGCAACCTTTGGAGGGGGACCAGCCTGCTACAGTGTCGTCCATGCTGTTGAGATCCGGTGGGTGCTTGGAAGCCGACAGCTTAATATGGCTAGAAAATATGTTCTCTCTTCTTGAAAGATGCATTGGATCCTTCTGCTGACCATTTTCTTTTGCTATGGCGCTCCTTTTCCTGGATTAAGTGTGCCGAAGAAGAAAAGAGGTAAATTTTTATTAAGTGCTACTGACCCTTCTCCCAATTTTTCAATTACTAATGGCAACTAGTATTACAATCGTTATCAGTTTTATTTAGATAACGAAAGCATCTGTTTGGTATCCGACAAGAAAAAAAAAATTGCCTGTAAAAAATAAAATGTGTTAAAATTCTTCATTCTGGACAGAATAATTTTATTATAAATTTGATTTGAAGGAACATCATGTTTATTTTTGGGTTTAAGTCCTTTTGTTTACATAATTATATTTTAAGAATAAAAGGCTGGAGTATTTAAGAAAATAGAGATTACGGTTTCTGTTTGTTCACGAGTAATATTTTCTGATATTTTTATATGCAGAAAATTAAATTTTTCTGTAGTAGCATAATTAATTTCCTATAAATTTACGGCAATCAGTAATTAATAAATGTTTAAAAATATTTTTTAATTACAAAAATTAATTTTATGTAGGTGTAATGCATTTATTATTTAAAGAAAATTTCAGTATGTATTGAAAACTGAAAAGAAATTTTGCATTTGTTAATATTTTGATTTCAGAATTTATTTATTGGAGAGTAAATATATGAACCTGAACTAAAATTTATTTGATAGAAATTAATTTAATGTTTTGTAATTTTTACTTTTCATTTTTTAGTGAATTTGCGCCCTTTTTTTGTGCCCTTATAGGAATAAAATTAATAACTGTACTGAATTACATTTTTTTTAAAAACATATAATAATTTTGTCAGAGGTTTGTTTAAATTCTTGCAATGTATTTTTTGTAAATTTTATGGGAATAATGTTTTATTCTGGAATAAGTATTTATTTCTTTTATATAAGTTTAGTAATTATAAATAAAATCTTAAATTATGAAATTTCTGGTCTTTTTGGAACTTGGGGAGGGGGTGGTTTTCAAATTTTATTCGCTTTTCAAAAATGCAGGTGATGAAAATGGTCTTTTAGGCAGTATATGATTGAATTATTTATCTTGCCTTAAATAGTTTTTATTTTATTTCTGATTGCTAAATTCAGTTATATTGAAACCTTATTTCACTTTGCTAATATAATAGTTAAGGATATTATTAAAAAAAAAAAAAATTGTACTTTCATTTGTAATGAATTCGTAATTAGTATTTCATTTTACAATGCTATGATATTCTGGAAATATTATCAAATGTGTATTATCATGTATTAGATTTATTGTCAGATGAAAATTTATCATCTTGTTAATAGTTTGTAAAATTATTATATAAAAATTATAATGTAATACAAAAATTAAAAAATATGGCTCATCTTGCATGACAACATATTTCTGGTAGCAAAATTACTGATTTCAGCAAAATATAGCTTACCTGTATAAATCTTGTAAAATTTAAAAATTTAGTTAATCAGATTTTAGTATTATTATGATTTTTGAGTGATTTTTTTTAAAAATTGGTTATTGCTTTTTTGCCATTAAGCATCTGAATTACTGCTTTATCTGTGAGAAATAAATGCCAGAGTCGTAGCTATGGTTTTCAGTGCCCAGGGACAACTGAAGATTTTGCGCCCCCTACTGCTTGCCAAGGATGGAAAAACGTTTAATTCTAAAATGTCGTAAAATCAGTTTGGCGCCCCTTCGATTCTGCGCTCGGGGACAGATGCCCCCCTATAGCTACGCCCCTGTTAAATGCATATTTACCATTAAAAAGATTTTAAGACTTTAAGTTTGTGTTTGTGATTAAAATTTTTATCGTGCAAGATCAAATCTCCTTTTGAAAAACTGTGTTAACATATTCAAAAATATTTCTAAACTATATTTTAAAAATTAATAAAACAATATTTGTTTATTATTTATGCAATTAGGTAATTCATGTTTGTAAACAATTGAAGTATAGACTTTTCATAGTCAAGCATGTTTTATATTTCATAAATTTTTTTGAAGTAAAAAGAAGTTGAAATAATTTAAACTGTTTATGATTTTTAATATATTACTGAAATTTTTTAATAATGCTTATATAAAATATTAAGTACTTAAATAAAAGTATTTGGAGTGTACATAATGCATTTCCATCAAATTTAAATCTGTAATATAAATGTAGCCAAATGAACATTAAATCATTTTGCTATATAGTTTTGTCAATTTTCTTGCTGGCAGCCTTTTAGTCGTCTGTTGTATTTGAACTTGCATTCTTAATAGTCTGTTTACAAACATAGGAATTGAAGCATGCCGTCATGAATAATGAAATCCTTAGAAATATGCAAGTACTGAGATAGAATATTAGTTATCAGTATTTAATATTTAATAATTGCTGAAACAAGTATGCAATAAACATATATATTACTGTCCTGGAATTATGGGTTTTCATTATAAGTCTCTTAAGTCTTTTGATAGAGCAATATATTATGGGAATAATTACATATTTCTAGTTATTCAGAATTGTTTCGTTATGAAATTGCAGGAAATTTGATGTACCATATATATGTTTAGAATATGGAGTATTTCAGAATTATATAGGATGCATTTTTATTCTGTGTTGTATGAATTTCCTAATGGTAGGTTGGTCAAAATTATAATTTTTATATATTATCTCTTTTGTTGCCAGTCTTGAGCCACAGAACTTTTTCAAAATAACATTTATATGCATAAGACATAAAATAGTAAAATTCTTAAAAAAAAAAAAAAAAAAAAAAAAAAAAAAAATGTAATATTTATGTGTTTAAATTGTAATTCTTAGGATAAGCAGTATTGAAAGTCTATATCTTTCATATTTGTACAACTGAGGAACGTTGAGGGATTTTCCCCTCCCTACCTCTTCTGGTCAGCTTTTAAATTTCTTATGTAAGAAAATGGTATTGAAATGTCAGGTTGATGTTTTGTATATTTACATCATTACCCTGTTCTCTTTTCTTGTAATTTTGCTGTTATGTTTAGTATTGAGTACTTTTTATTTTTGAACACTATTTTGTGTTGAGGCAAACATTGATGTTTCTTTAAGAATTAGTTCTTTGAGAATATTAATTATTTGGAAGTGTTCATAAATTAAGCATATAAAATACATGGACACTGAATAATTTTATCTTGGAATTTGGAAACAATAAAGAAACTTTAATATAATTTTAGCAAATTTTATTAATGCAACAATTTTAAAATTTTGTTATAAGAAAAATTAAACATGAAATTCTTCAGTGTGAAGTATTTAGTCATGTTTGTTTTCTTATATTAAAAATTATAAAATAATACCAAAAGGTGATTTATTGAAATTTATTCTAATACAGTTTCTAATATATTTTCTGCTATATTTACATTTGCTGGTACTGTTCTGTTATCAGGAACAGGTTCTGAAATGGACGTTATGTATTGCATGTATGTAAGTACAAATGTATGTGTGTGTATATAGCATTTCTGAATCTAGCCCCATTTGCTGTGGTATCCATTTGCTGTGAGATATTTCTAATCTGATGAATTTTTGACTTGTTAATATGCTTGTCTATGTTAAAGCATAGCAGAGTTCAAAGTGCTGTTTTATTATGAGAATTTTTACTCAGTGACATTATAAATATTAGATCCTATATTAATCCTTGTAAATTAAATGCGTATAATTTATTTTTTTTTTAAAAATAAAATGGTGGATTGTGCAGTAACAGAGAAAAAAACATTTCATATACTATATTATTATTTTGCTGTTTTGATATAAAGCATTGTTTTAATTTACATGCATATTGTTTTATAAATCTAGTAGGGCCTCTGTTAATAATTTATTATATGCAGTGGAGGGAAATTATTATAATAAAATTTATATTATCTGAAAGAAAAGTATGTAAGAATTTTTATATCAGGCAGCTGAAGTGAAAGATTGGTATGCCATCGATATACTGGAGTGCATGATGCAGGCTTGTTGATATAGCTGCCAAGATTAAAGTCTATATAATTTTTTTTCTTACATCAGTGATTATGATTTTGGCCCTATTTTTACTAGGTAACATTCAGATAGCAATAAGACAAAGCTGTGGAATTATCACTATGCTCAGAGGAACATAGCATGGCATGAGTTTGATTATCATATATGTTCATTTGTTGAGTTATACGTAATTCCTACTTGATTGTTGAATTATACATGTTGGGTTTGGTTTTGATTTGATTTAATTAAATTACAACAAAGCATTCAGTCACTGTCTGCGTAAGGGAAGAGATGCCTTTGTGGAGGACTTTCTAAGGGGAATTGGGTTCATCATACATGTTTGATTATTTCATCATACTTGTTTGATTATTTATAATATAATTAATATGTAAATCTGTATATTCTTTCTTTCAGACAAGGTGAATATAACTCTGGTTTCCTTCCTATAATTTTTTATGTTGTTTGAATAAAAAATTATCTTTATCATATTTAAACACATATGTTTTAGGTAATATTCAGGGTAGTATATATATATATATATATATATATATTTTATGTTTGCCCAATATTGAAGAAACTTTTCATGTTTATTTAAAAGAAAAGTTGTAATCAGAAATGCTATTTTTTACAATTTCTTTTTAAAGAATCGTTAAGAGATATAAGTACTATTGCAAGTTTAATCTTTGTTGATGAGTACTTCTCATGAATGGATATTTCTCAAATTTCCAAGTAGGAGGCTAATTCATTTAAATTTAATAATTGTTTCTACTCACTAGAGGTTTCACTATATATCTGTCATAAAAATGCTAAATGAGTTATACACTATTGCTAATATGTAATTTATGTATGTGTAATTTACGTACTTACAAAATAGAGGCAAATAAATGCAAAATTTATCGTTGTCAGTAGTTAAATGTGAAATATTGTTTATAAACTTTTTTGAATGAAAACTGATGAAATATAGGTATTTAAGGTTTCTCTTCTTTCTCTTGAGCCCTAAACTGAGAAAGGTAGAAGTTTATAAACAGAAAATAATACCAATAATAACAGCAGGGAAATGTTTAAACATACTGACGTTACACATGCTGTCTAATGTAACAAAATAATCCTTTAAAGCATTTCCCAAAATA